ATCTGCATTCTTTCGCTCACTTCTGATTTTCATTTTCAAGGGTCAAGGGGGTCTTTTTTTTTTAATTTTCAGGAATCAAACCTGTGATAGGTCTATTTTACCATGATTCATGCTGATACAAACAATTTTTGAACCACTTTAAGAGGTGGGGGTTCCTTGAAAATGTGTTTCAAAGCGTGGTTTTTTTGAGAAATTTGGTGTCCAGGGCTGTAATTTTCACCAAGAGTTGTTGCCTTGCATACCCATATAATACAAGTGATCCCCCAGGTGTGTAACTCCTATAAGTAATAATAATAATAATAATAATCGTAATCATAATCTTATAATAATAACCCTAATGAAAAATCAATGTTAAGTTCATCTTAGGCACAAAAGTAGTAGAGAAATACTTCAAACAAAAATAAGAACAAAACTAAATGTAAAGTTGAAACTAATATAACCTTCTGTGCTTGGCAAGTAGAAATTTCAGAAATGTAATGACATGTCCGAGTAAATGAATTTAAATAAATGATAAATCACTAATCATGCTTTTATTCCACCGTTTTCTCTTGAATTATCTTCATTACTGGCCTATATATCCCGAATGTTATGTTACTCACTCAGTGCAACCAGACATCATATGATGAATGATTTGGTAAACATTTGTTTGCTCATGTAACAGTATTCTTTGATACGTTTAGTAATTCTTCTTTATTCACACAGAGAACCTCAATTGGATCTCGGTTGTGCATAGACTATTTTGTTTGAGCTTTAGGTACATACATTGAACATCATAGTTGTTTGGTGCATGGTGCATTCAAAATGGCTGACTGGTAGCCATTTTCTTGTAATGTAAATAAATATATGCGCATGCATTTGTTTTGTTGTCCAATTCGAGATGGCCAAAATGATGTATAATTTTAAGTCAAAAATGCATTAAAATCATTTCCACCATTCCAGAACCAAATCAATTCAAACATTTTACATACATTATACTGAAAGAGAAAACAATATAAACAAATTCAAAACTATTATTAATACAAAAGAACATAAATTAATCAAGCATGTGACTAAATTCTTAAAACTTTGTGTCAAGAAACATGACACATAGACTTATCATACATAATTGTATATCACCACACTATCTCAGGCTAATTTGGCATTTTGAACTGCATTTATCTTAATTTTCTTTAATTTTTATTTTTGTTACTGTTTTTAAAATTTATTGCATAACAGCCTAAAATGATTTGTCAACTTTCACTATGGTGTAATAAATGAAATTATTATTATTATTACATGGATGGTATACGATATTACTGATGTAAACACATACATACTGTCTTTTACAACATAATAAGGCAGCTTCTATAATTGATTCAATAACTCATAGAAATATTTTGTTCTTGTTTTAGGATGTGTGCTGCTTGGTGATTTTTATACAAATATCAGAAAAGAATATGAAAAAGGCGTAGAGGTCTATAAGACAGCATGTAATGAGCAGGATAACCCAGAAGCCTGCTATAAATTAGGAAAAGCATGCTTGGCAGGAAAAGGTAAACTGCATAATGAGGGCTGAAAACATAAACGAATTGACATATGTGATATTTGGCCTAAACTAGTCTGTCTATTTGACACATTGTTGTGGTGAATGTCACTAATCATTAGACACACTAAGTAAAATACTGTAAAAGGCAAGGTAGAATGGTTAATTATTCACTGGGTTTTAATTTTGCTTATTCGCTGACTGGAAAATGCGCTAAATTAAAACCCAGTGAATATGTAAAACCGTGAATTTAAAACTCACTGAATATGCCTGAAAAGGTAAATCATCGAAATTTAAACCCAGTGAAAATTAGTCATTTTACATTATTATACATTTTGTAACCAACAAGCTTTGTAGATTGAATAAACATCTAGGGGATTAGCATCTAGTTTACCCAAACTGTGGTTGACAGGCATTTTGCATATATCAATCACCATTTTTCATGTGTCATTGTTTCATCCCAAAACAACCATATATGTACATCAAATATCCAATTTAGCACATATATTCATGCTCCTATATAATTGTCACATTTCCCAGAACACTTCGCCATGATGTTACCAGCTTGTGTTGGATTATCATACATTCGGCTGCTATCTTTCCCTACTTATACCCTTGGCTCTCGTTTAAAAAAACTCTATGGTGATGATTTAAAATACCTGTATACTTTAAAGGGGCACGTGCAGTTAAGCCTAATCTCACAACAAATTTACTTTTTATATTAAAATTACAATGGATAACAAAAGATAGATTTCACTTTGTAAATAACATAAACAATAGTGTCCCATGATTCTTTGGTGCTTCCCTGGGATTGGAAGGTTCTCCTTTAAGTATGGGCCATTTTGGTCAGTATACAGCACATAAACCACACACACTTGGTATGCAAGCTGAAACCGTCATATTACCATTATATACATGTATCTAGTAATGTACCTCATATAGGTCATCTTATACATTTCTGCTAAACATAAATGTCAACAAAACATTTCATATAGCATAGAATAGAATAGTGCTTTATATAATTATTACAGTACATCCTTAATGAAATCTGACATTTCAGTTTTGGTAATTGCTGTATTAAAGCTTTTTGAAATTAACTACAATTAAACTACACATACAATACAATAATAGATTTTAAATAAACTACAATAAATCACACTGAAAATATAGCACAACAATACATTAATTAATTATCACCTTTTCTTTTCTTATTTTGTAGGCTTTCTGTATGTAATTTAATAACCCAGTAGACATTTTTTGTTAGTTGTGTTTAAAATGTGTATAAATTTATCTTTGTTGTTGTAATTTTTGACTCCCGTGTGCGAAGCACAAAAAGGGAGTCTTTGCAGTTAGTGTGTGTCTGTGTGTCTGTTCATAGACCTGATTAGTTTTAATTGAATATTAATTACCTAATTTGCATAATGTTCCACTGATATATAAAGAACCACAAATTGGATTTTAGTGAAAC